AAACCAGCAGCCACACGGCCCTTTCTGGAACCAGTTCGACACCCTTCCTGGTTCCTGTTGATCTAACAAGCTTCATAAAGTATCAAAGACATCAGAAAGTATCCAGATGGGACAGCCATCTTTGGCCTCATCACTTCCTGTGACATGGTTCACGTGTTAGCTGTCTATGGAGAGGAAAAACTTTGTTTTCCATAGATAGGTAGTATCTCACTGTGGCCCTCCCTCTATGATGTCACTTTCTATCTAAAGGACAGGTGTCGGACTGAAGGCCGACAGTTTCCTGGTCCTAATACCACAGAGACCCTCAGTTGGCCAAAGAACGCTGAAGCTACAGTGAAAAAGATCTCCATGGAGTTTCATCAGGTTTTTGAGGAATACCAGGATTAGACCTAAGCCCCTAATCTGGTGGCAATAAAGACATTCATTTAGAAACAGAGCAATAATCAACCTCACACCACAAATCTAGATCTATAGAGCAGTTTACACTACCCTCTGAAAACCGATCCGTGGCAGGTTTGGTTCCTGACGACCGTTTAAACGCCACGCTAACACGGTTCCTCGCCTCACAGTGACGATCTACGGTACTACTGCTCTCTAGAGGGAAACAAGCAAACCAACATGTCGGCGCCCGTAACATTCAGGAAGTTTGTTGAGAGTCAGGCCAAGAAGGCGGCCTTTGGTGAATTTACTTGAGAGAGTCGGCTACGACAAACGATAGTCTGATCAGGGCGTCCAGACGCAGGAAACAACGACAGAACGTCGAGGTTAATCACACTGCTAAGCAGAATCATCACTGGAAACCATGTGGCACGGTAGGGAAGCTAGGATTTTAATAAATGTCTGAAATTCCCTGATTGCGGAGGCTGACTGTTCGGAGATGAACTGGACTGCTTATGTCTCTTTTACCCCATTTCCACTACGCTTGAAAAACCGATCCATACCGAGACCGGTCCGAGCTGGGATCAGTTAACCAGGCCCAGCTCGGTTCTGACGACCGTTTACACATCACGCTATCTCGGTTCCTCGCCTCCTAGTGACGTTCTAAGGTATTACTGCCAGTATTGAAGGAGGAAATCAAGCAGTTGGTGGCGGTAATGCACCAAAAGTTGTTTGCCAACCGCCATAAAACACAAGAAGAAGAAGGAGGGAATCAAGCAAATCAAAGGGCGTTTCTCAATTCACGAGAACGCGAGTACGTTCTTGGCGAGAACGCAGGAAGAGCGGACTTGACGAGAACGCGAGCACACAAGCACGTATGTGTATTGGAGCAGAAGCGTACTCGTGATGTCATCACATGCAACGTTGTTTAGCATTTCTTTAACAGTCAAAACTATTTATTCCCTACACAAAACATGTTGAAAACAATATTTTAAATTTCTAAAGCTTAAAAAACATTAAAAAAAATTACCGAACCGCAAAAAACCGCCATCAGAAGGAGCGGTAGTTCACACATAACTAGACCGAGAGAAGTGCACTACAGACGGGGTAACATTAGCCCTGGCTGCGGTTACCCTCGGAGGTCTGCTGGTCACTCTGGTCCGCTCAATGTCGGACTTTTTTTTTAAATTTATCACTAACTCTGTAAACAGGCCACACAGGGAGGCTTCAATGTATAATGTTATCGCCTCAAACGATTTCAAAACGTACTTTTGAAGAACAACATCAGCAGAAAAGGGAATGTTTAACTTACCACTGTGAGCGCTGTCTGGAATCAAGCTGCGGCCGCGGGGCATTCTGGGGAAGCGGTCAGTCTGAAGAACGCACAAGTCTGCTCTGATGCATGCTCGATAAAGAGGGCGGGGTGAGAACAACATCCGGGGATTTTATGCGTTCTCGATCTGGCGTTCTTGAGAATTGGAACGGTACTCGGGCTGAGGCTGATGACGTATCACGAGTAAACGAGCACACGAGAACGCTCAAGAACGCATATTGGGAAACGGCCAAAATGTTGCGTGGAGAAGATTTCGATAGTTGTTTATAGTTGTTCTTCTTCTTCTGTTTGTGTTGGTTGGCAAGCAACTTCCAGAGGGGCATTACCGCCACCTACTGGAATGGAGTGTGAATCGGGATGTGCAGCCAGACGGAGATGACGCGTCCTGCTCATGCGCTCTTGTTATCAGAGAACCGAGCCAGGTTAGCTCGGTTCGGTTCAGTTTGCTTTCCATTTACACACCCTAAGTTATCTCAGTTACTGAGCTCGGACCGGTCTCGGACCGGTTTTTCAAGGGTTAGGGTAAATGGGGTAATGGTAGTTCAGCTCTGAGCCAGAGCTGAACTACGCTGAGCCCTGCTAAGGAGCTAGCACCATGTTAACCCCGTTCAGTTGTGTCTGCCGCGGTTCGGTTCAGTTTTGCGTGACATTTACACTCAACGGTTGTCTCGGTTACCGTGCTCAGACCGATCTTGGCACAGTTTCAAAAGGGTAGTGGAAATGGGTCTAATGAAAACATCTCAGATTAAATGACCTTCTCACTATCTCCTGCAGTGCATTTATATTGTTCATTCCTATATTCCAAAAAGAAACTCAAGTGTCAGAAATAGCGTTGAGTTCCAGGTTTTATACAGCAGCCCAACAAAGACTTGTTTTAGTTTAGAAAACATGCAAATTGTTTTCTAACACCCATTTGGAATGGGGGTCGTTTGGCTTATTTGTTAGACTGTTATGTTTATCTGATTATTTGCTACTGGCTCCAGGACGAACAGGAATTTCAATGTACCAGTTTCTTTTCTTAATAAACTCTACTCAGTCTAACGTCTTCTTGAGTAAATTGCGAGCCCATCTGTCAGATGGAAACAAGGCGCCACAACGGCCCAGTCAAAGCCCGGCGAATCCTTTAAACTCCGCTGTATTTAATCTTTCCATCCTTACAGGCACGTCTTCCAGCGCTCGTTGGCAATCGAGGCAGAGTGTAACAGAGTCTGCTGTATTCCTACGCCCTAAAACAGGAAACCAGCCTGTAACCGACACCTCGGCATGTATCCAGCAACCAGTGAAAAACGACCTCCGTCTTTATGAGAAAAGTTTTGGTTTCAGTTTAGAGGAACTTTGTTTATTTCTCAGTGTGGTATCAGGCTCATATATGATTGGTTGTGACTGAGTCATAAATTATTCATTCGTGTGTGTGTGTGTGTGTGTGTGGGTGTGTGTGTGTGTGTGTGTGGGGGATGGACGGGTGTGTTTTTGGGGGGTTGGCGGCGGAGCTTTTGCTCCAATGTTTACAAACATTACTTATGTCAACAAATGGAAGAGCTTCGTATTCTAAGACTCGATCGTCTGGGGAGATTCTGGAACAGTGTGGGCAATTCCAGTTCCTGAGGGCCCCATCCTGCAACTTTTAGATGTTTCCTTGGTTTAAAACACCTGAATCAAGTAAAAAGATGATTAAGAAGACGGAGGAAACCCTAACCCAACCATTTGATTCAGGTGTGTTTGACCAAGGAAACATCTAAAAGCTGCAGGAATGAGGCCCTCAATCTTAATAAGTCAATTTTTCTTAAAATAAGTGCATTTTTTGTTGAACTGAGGAGGTAAGTGAGACATTTTACCAATGGAACAAGACAATTTACATTTAAAATAAGAAAAAACAATTGCATTGTCTTATTTCAAGTGAATTTTATCTAATTATCTTATTTTAAGAGTAAAAATACTCATTCCATTGGCAAATCCTCTTACTTACCTACTCAAATTAAGGGTAAATACACTTAATTTAAGAAATCTTTACTTATTTCTAGATAGTTTTTGCAGTGCAGGAACTAGATTTGCCCACCCCTGGTCTGGAAAGTTGTTGAACTTTTGTTTTGTAAAGTATTGAATGTTCCTGATAACAAAACCTAAAATTTTTGACATTTTTAAAGTTGTCGAGGTTAAAAAATAAAGAATAATACAGAAAACAAAGGGCTTTAATTTTTACCACCTTAGAATCGGATTTATTTGTTCTTTCAAACCACAAAAATAAATCTTTTGGCTTCTTCTCCATAAGGAGAGAATTTTTAAAGGTTAATATGATATAAAGACATTAAATATGCATTATCTCTTTCTGGGTTCTGACTTTTAAGCTTTCGGTAAATAAAGTTAATTAGATAAAGTTAAAATGTCCAGGATGTGTGGGGTCTGCAAAGATCTTAGTTGCACTTTTCCAGACAAGTGATAAAAAAAAAACAAAAAACTTGATTTTTGTTTAAATAAGACACTGGAAGCACTCATTTGTTAGCACAAATATAGAAATTTATTTTTAAAAAGGAAACACATAACTAACACTAAAGTGAGACTCCAAATGCCACGGCGTAGACATTTCTTCAGACTGGGAAATAAAACACGACGACAGCTTCAGTGAAGAAACGTCTCCATTGCATTCATACATTCTGTACACATCGTCAACAATTGCACTTAAAAAACAACAAAAACAAAGAGCACATTCAGACTTGACATCATTTCTTTCTTTCTGCACGTCCCCGGAACCTCACACGTTTCCAAACTTCCTCCCTTTCGCAGCTAACCAATCACATTCATTGTCTTTCTTGTGTCAGATCACCTTCATAGCAGCTCAGTTCCTTTATGAACTCACCTCAGAATTACATCACTCAAACACATTTACCAGATGCTGATGAAGGTTCTCATTTGAATTGAGAAAGCTTCCTGGAGAGGTGGCGAAACGTCTTCAAATCTTGAAAACCAAGTACAGTGGATATTTTTTGAATTTTTACGGAAAACATTTACCAGAGAAACTTGTGCAATTTACATGGAGGGAAAGAAAGGGCTGCATGACTCCTTTTTTACAAAAACCGACTCGATTCTGAATCACATAGGTTCTAAGTTTACACGGAGCTGAAGGTTTAGTGTGCTTTGCTTCATTAAAAATGAATCAGCTGTGTTTTGTGTAGCGGAGAAGCATCGTGTGGCCATGCACTCCCTAAGCTTTCCCTTCAATATGAAGGATTCATTTAGATTTAGTTTCCCTCAGCTTACAGCGTCACATTGAGAAGAGCATCTCAATCAGTGCATGTTTAACTATCCAGCCCTCAAAAAGGGGCTAACAGTCTCTATATATCTTGTGCACCGTTAGTCTTTTATTTTAGTGGGCAGGCACAAAGAGAAGGCACATTAATATGCTACGATAGAGAACTACGTTTCAGTTGAATTTCCCTGCTGCTCCTCCAGCTTAATCATTCATCAGGCCCAGTGACCGGTTCCAGCAAAAAGCAGGTCAGCTGAGCTGCTTTTTGTCTGATTTGTGTACCTTTGCAGCTAAAAAAAAATCCGTCTGTTTGCTTCAGCGTACTTTGAGTCAGTCCAGCTCAGACCTGGAGCTGGCTTTGGACCGAATGCCCCGTCAGTGTCTGTTATCGGCTGCCAGTGTTGGCTCAGCAAATATCCTAAAGCTTTCACCAGTAAGGCACCGTGTTGTCGATCTGACCCCAGCTCTGCCAGCCGGGAAACAGTCCGCTGGACATGCGTGGGCTGCCGAACTGATCGAACTCCAGCTCCTGGAGCTTCCCGCCCCCCATTTTATGCTCTGAGGGCTTCTCATGAGGAACAGGGGTTCTGTGCACCTCCTCTCTGCTCCAGCCGACGTGTTTCAGAGGGTAGTTCTTGCCCTCGTTATTGTCCCAGAAGGTTTGGCCCTGGACCTTGAAGCAGATACAGAACTCGATCCGGTTCTGTGGCAGGGTGCGTTCAGGGAGGTCCAGCTCAAAGGCAAAGGTGTCAGTGTCCTGGCAGCCGTAGACGTTGTTCAGGAAGGTGCAGTCGTAATCGGTGAACGTGGCCCAGGAGTCGTAGGTGACGCGCACCTGCACGGACTTCTCGTAGCCCATGTTCCTGACTTTGATGGTGCCGGTCAGGGAGCGCTCCTGCAGCGAGCAGTTCTCCAAGGAGACACAGTTCCGAATCAGGCGGTTCCGGAAGTCCAGGTAGTCGGCTGAGGGCTGTTTGAAGTCGAGCGCCAGGCTTCGCGGCGAGCTGATCTTTAGATCCATGGTGGCGGTTCCAAGGTCAGTCATCTCAAACTGCAGCTCCTCTGTGATTCTATCAACCGGCTTATTCTGGTACCGCTCGTCGTCGAACTTGGAGAAGACGTGGATGGTGGTGAGAGACAGACCCTTGGTGTCGGCGAACACCACGCTCTTCTTGGTGGGCTTCTTTTTGGACCAGGCCACATGGCTGCTGTCGTCCGCCGCCTTGCGCTGGCTGCTGAGGCAGGGTCGCAGGGGTTGGTAGAGCTGCTGGTTGCAGCTGCGGTTGCTGGACTGGTTGACCCTGTTCTTGGCCCTCTGCAGGTCCCCATAGGAGCTGATAAAGCTTCGGAGAGGAGGCGGAGAGTGGCTGATGTAGAACCTCATGGCTACGTCTGTCAATACCGGGCCAGGCATTGCTGAAGGACTGAAAGATGTGAGCACACTGGGGAAGGGAGAAAATACGGTGAGAAACGGAACGAGATGATTAGACCCTCAAGGAGTGAACAAAGTCTTTAAACTTATTAAAGTTGAATATAAAAGGTTTAGAATGAATTTGAAACCAAAAAGAAAAGTTTTTGGTTTTACAAAGTCATGCATCAAACTCTTAACTTTCAAACTAAATACCTTCATAAAGAAATAAACTAAAGCATTTTACTGTTTCTTACCTTGCAGCACTCATGGAATACTAAAACAGGAAATAAAACTCCAATGGGAAAATGTTGAATCCCTTTTGCTGTTTGAAGTCTGCAGAGCAGCTTCTAAACTCGCAGGCTGCAGTCACTCCCCTTTCAGTGTCGGGCTTTGCTCAGCACTCTGGGCTTTCAACTGCCACAAGGAGATCATTTGCATAAGCAGTCATCTGGTTCCCTCCGCCAGCCAATTGAAAGACCAGAGGAATTCCTCAGCGGCCAATCCGCTGCGAGCTGACATGGCTGCAGGCCAGCTGATAGGGGGCGTGTCGCCTCATGGTTGAAATTCCTGGGCCTGTTGCCTCAGAGAAGCATGATGGACCCCTGCTGGCGCTGCTGCGGAGGTTTGTCTGCTGAGAGCTGCGTCTCTTCCTGCACACGACTAATAAAAACCCATAATAATATTATTCATTTATAAATGATTACATCAAACCACCTAAGAGCAGCACAGCTATGTTAGGTGGTGCCATTCTCAATTCTCAAACAAAATATAAAATAACCTGAATGGATAAAAAGGTGAAGATCTGTTTTTAGAGCAGCTGACCCCCCCGCCTTCAGTGACGTGGCTTTTAATACCTCATGCATTATCCCTGATGAGCCCCTTTGAGCTGCCAGCCACACCTCTTTGCCTAACAAAGCCTCAGTCTGCTCACATCTTCATCACCAGACGCTTGATTTGATGTGAAAACAAAGACACGAGTTTCACTTTAAGATGAAACTAAGGAGAAGAAGTTTCATCCCAACTGTTTTGACTTTCACATCTTATCAGGGAAGGTTTATCCACCATGTTTGCCTCATTGATTTTTAAGCCGGGAGTTAAACATTACCTTCCTAACTGGCCGACTTTGCGGATTATTTTAACTTCTAGCAGAAAACGGGTGAAGGTCCTTTAGCTTTTCTTAGTTTTCGGGGAAGTGTTTGGATTCACTCCACGGTGGATCTTCAGAGGGTCATCCTGACCGCTTTGTTCATCCTCTCACACTGAGGCTGAGAGGCTAACATGCTGCTGATGTGGGTCATCTTACGGCGCCGCTGGACACCGAGACTTTATCACGTCTACCAATCAATCCAGACTTTATTTATAGGGCAGTCGGGTGGAACAGCTCCTCACTGAGGTTACAAACAGGAGGATAAAAACACCAGAAGCAAAACAATAAAACAGAAAAAAGGAGTAAAGGTTGATGAGAAAAACTTCATTATTACACTGCTAAAACGATCTAGAAATAAGTTCAAACTTACATTTAGTGTTTTTACCTTTAAAGGAAACGTTTCATCAGATTCAGAATTCAACGCTGGAAAAAATCTAAATCTAGATAAGTCAATTTTTCTTAAAATGAGTGCATTTTTTCTTGAATTAAGGAGGTAAAATAAACATCTTGCCAATGGAACAAGACAATTTACATTTAAAATTAGAAAACACAGTTGCATTGTCTTATTACAAGTGCATATTATCTAAATATCTTATTTTGAGAGTAAAAATACTCTTTACATTGGCAAATTATCTCATTTACCTTCTCAAATTAAGGGTAAATACATTTAATTTAAGAAAGTTTTACTTATTTTTAGATCGTTTTTGCAGTGAAACTTCAAATTTTCATTTGAAAACCCTAACCCTTTTCCTACTGTACTGTGATGCAACGCTGCAATTTCCCCACTGTGGGACAAATAAAGGATTATCGTATCTTATCTTATCTTTACTGGAGGCAGTGGCGGTTCTAGACCAAATGTACCATGGGGCCAGGAGGGGGCCCTGGGTGTTTTCATGGGGGCCCAGAATAGCATGAAATGAAAATCAGGGCAAGGCATTTAAATATATTAAGAGAGCTGCATGAAGTGAAACTTCTATTCAATTAGGTTAAATTAAAATTATGTCTTGCAAGGTCAAATTACTTCCATAATTTAGTAATTTAACATATTTTTGATAGAATTACCATTTCTTACACAATCTGAATTAGAACTCAAGAAAAACTAATAAATTCAGCCATAAAAATGAGAGCAAATTGTTTTGAAAAAAAACATTTAGCAAAAGAAAACTGGGATTCTATCTCAATACCTCTGAAGCTATCGCATTATTTATTTTAAATAATTAGGAAAACAGGATTTGTAAAGGGGGCTAAAATGAAATAGTCCCAAAGGACCAATCAGTAACCCTGTCTGTTCCAGCGCAGATCATCATTAGAATTTATTTGAGTACTATGTCTTTAGTACAGGGGCCAGAACATGATCAACAGGGGCACTGGCCCCCGTTGGCCCCTGTCTAGAACCGCCTCTGACTGGAGGCATCCATGTTTGTCAAAGAACACTACTGCCACCTACTGGTTAGTGACATTGTCACGGTGCGGTATCGGCTGTTGATCAAGTCCCAGTGCTGTATCTGGTGTTTGTCACAACGCGCTATTATCCAAGTCATCTTGAAAACATTCTTCTTCCAAATGTTGGCTACATATTACGGGTTTTTTCTCTGGCCAGAAGTTCGATGGCAAATCCTCCCTCTTCAAGTTGGCGATCCAACGACCAACCCGTCCGTGGAGGATCAGGAATCAGAAAGGTGGAATAACTCTTTTTTTCACTTTTCCCCGATGTATTCCAGCATCCAGCTGCCATGCACGTGGGCATTGTCAGTTTCACTATAGCTCTGGTGAATTTCAATGGTGAAGTCCTCTGGAAATCTTCAATAATTGTTGTTGATTGCAGATGTGTCTAGTAGTTCCCATTGATTTAGCTTGGAAAGCGGGGAGAATGGCGCTAGGCTTACCGCACCGTGACGTCACTGCTGGAAGATGGCAGGAGGGAGGGGCTACTATACTTGGGCAAAAATGGCCGCTCCCAGACTCGGTGATCATGATGAAAATTATTATTTTTAATTCATTTAATCACAGCAAATTAATTTTAGGTATAAATAATGATCCATTGATTATTCTTTGCTGACCGGACTTTTCCTTTAAGCCTTCCTGTCGTCTGGACTGATCTGACATGAAGCTGAAGGAAACCATACGCTGTTTTATTGGATATCCAGACTAATGCAGATAAAGCTGCAGGTATGAAGGTACTTTGAACCATAGATATCCATAATAAAGGCTAGATGTCTCGTCCGCGCTGCTGGCCAATGGGGGTCGACGTCCGCACGTGGCGGCCATCTTGCTACAGGCAGCTCGCTCATTCGTAACATTGTGTTTTAAAGGCGCATGTACTTAAATAACCATAACTTTCTCAATTGTCTAACTGTTTGGTTTGTTAAACAAAAGTCAGACATGTAGTTATGATACTGCACACTTATGAATAATTATAACTACGGAATTTCATATAAAAAGAACATTGAATAGAACATACAGGTGCAATAAATATACACATGCACAAGGTATTTATGTTAAATCAATATATGCTAATAAAACTCAGTGTACTGAATGGCAACATGATATATAGATATATCTATAGATATCTATATAGATATAGATACCTATATATATATATATATATATATATAGATATATATAGATATATAGATATAGATACCTATATATATATATATATATATATATATATATATATATATATATATATATATATATATATATATATATATATATATAAATAAACACTTTTATTTGGGTGTGATTAATTATTTCACAGTCCTAATTTATTTATATTTACATACATACTTTTATAATATGAATATTATTGTTATAATAAAATATGGAATACTGACAAAAAAGGCTTATTGCGTTGCAACCTCTTGGTGTAGAAGCATAATCCAGGTTTCAAATTAAAGGTAACACTTTGAAGTTTCATGTAGACTATTCGGATTATATATCAGGGGTAATTACACAAAAGTTCCTATTTTTAAACCATTATAAAAGTGACATTTATTTGCTTGGTATGTTAAAATTGGTACAATAGTCCCCTTCACAAGTATATATAGATGTAGCATGTTGAAATCCCCACCTACACTACTGTGATGGTATACACATGGAAGACAGAGATTTAAAAAATGACCCAAAAAACATAGCTTGGCTAATGCCCTTTGAAAAGGACGGATTTATTGAGCTTCTGTGTAATGTACAAGAGAGCGTTGTCCACAAGGCCATCAAAGCAGACAGGAAGGTAGCTGTGGTCATGTACTAACGCAGGAATGTCAGCAAACGGGGATGGAAGATCTTCTCCTCCTGCTTACACATTATATAACCTGCAGAAACAAAAACAAAAGTGACCAACAACAATTCACGGTGTTTAAGATTGGTATATCAATATGTGATTAAATTTCAATGATACACATGCCCTTTGAAGATGAGCTGGAAAGTTGAAAATGTTTGGCACAACACCATCTTTAATGCTGCGTTCACACCGGGGGCAGCTGGCGCGACAGAAGCAGCGAGTTTACATGCAAAGTCAATGGTTGACGCGCGTCAAGGCGCAGCAAAAGGTCCTGCGGCGCGTTTTGAGCAGCAGGCGCAGCGCGTCTGAGCAGCTGAAGCAGCGCGTCGGGCGCCTGACGCGCGTGACGCGCCGCAAACGCGTTGCTGCTCGAGATGGAAAATTTTATTTTTGCTGCTCGACGCGCCGCGTCAACCAATCAGAGAAGCTGATCTGGGAGCTGGCTGGGAGAGAGACACAGCGCTGATGACACAGACCGCTCTGATTACTCCTCTTAAACAGTTTATTAACGCATAATTAACTTAAAATATATACATCTGCCGGCAGAATATGTTGGCTTTTATTATTCTGCTGCCTGCAGTTTGGATTATTTAGATGAAAAACACCTACCAGCCGCCGCGCTAAACCGTGAGGAGGCGACCCGCCAGAGGCTGCTGATGAATGGATTCCTTCTGTCGGCGCACCGTCGGTATGTGGGGGTCTGAGCGGCTCCGACAGAAATAACATTGGGAGGCAGGATGGTAATCTGGATGAACTGACGGCACTGATTAAGTTTTCAGGTGTATTTTCTCACTTAAAAACATATTAAAACTACTTTATTCCCACTGATCACAGCAAATATAGCTGCAAGGCAGAGAAAGGA